TAATACCGCCAGTAGTTTCTGGATATTACCACGAAGGTGTCGCTTTATGAGCGGTAATTTATGAAAACAAAAAAGAAGAAAAAAAAAGAAAAATAAATTAATAAACAAATCAATAAAATAAAGAAAAAAGAAGACAAAAAGAAAAACTAAGAGAAGCAAAGAGAAAAAAAATACAAAGAAGAAACAAAAGAAATGAATGAACGAAAAATTTTTTTAAATCGCTCCCTCGCACGTAGATTTATATAAAAGTTTGAATATTTTAACGTTCGTTATACAATCTGACTCGTAAAATAGAAGGATTCGTGGAACGAGAGAATACATAAGAGGTACTTTACCGAATAATATTTTATGTTCTAATGGGGTACGATAACATAAATTAAATTGGTACGTAATGAACGTGGTATTCCGTGAGTTTCGACAAAAGTATATATTCACTCGGAGATACGGGCTCATTTGCACAGAATGTCCGACGCTCGTGATAAATCCTTAACCGATATCGATCTCTTCTTTTGCGTTACTTACTAGCGCGATCTAGGAATCTCCAATTCACCCTACTTACCTCAACCGTCGAACGTCATAAATCGTAAACCGACTCCAATTAACTTAATCTCGATCTGAACAAATTATACGGCAACATCGGCGTTAAATTTAGCGATAAGAAAAGGCAAGAGGCCACGAAATCAAGCTGTTAACTATTTTTCTCGTTGTCTAATATTCTACTTATACCCCCCACTCTCTTTTCTCTTTCCTTCCTTTGCCACACACTTCTCGCCCTTTCCTTTCCATCTCTTTCTTTTTCTTTTCTCTTAGCGATAGATATTACTTTTAAGATGAGAGAAAGGGAGAGAGCGAGAAAGAGAAAGGAAGACAGAGACAAAAAGAGAGAGAGAGAGAGAGAGGGGAGAGAAAGAGGAAGGGATTATCCGATAAGAAGAAAGTCCCAAGATTAATTCCCCCGCGACTTTGCTCGTTATCGGGCACGTAATTACGATTAGCAAGAGAGAGAGACAGAGAGAAAGAGAGGAAAAGAGACTACCCCCGTCCTCTCCACCGATACTTCGGCAAATGTCTATAAGCAGCCGTCGAAATTGATAAGGCTTTGCGATCGAAGTGGCCTCGGAAAGAGGTAAGAAGAAAAATAAAAGAGAAAAGCGTGGACCAACCGCTGTTAACGTAAGTGTGCGAGAAACGAGTCGGAAGAGAGATCGACGAACGAAGAGAAGCACGTTTGCTCGAGCAAACAGGATTCGTTCCTTTCCACGCTCACTTTCTCTCTCTTTCTCTCTCTCTCTCGCGCGCGCGCGCGTGTCTCACCATCGGTCATATCTCGAAGGATCATGATTTGGATGGGCGGACGGCTCGAGAAAGAAGAAAAAGAAATAAGAATAAGTAGTAGAAAAGCAAAGGAAGCAAGGCTGTAGTCATTCGTAATCGGGCCCAGCGGTTCCTCGCACAGACGAAAGAAAACAGTTTTGCCATTCACGTAGCAGCTTTCGACTGTTCGGAGGGACAACTTGCCGGCCCTTCTTCTTTGAGCCCCACTAGCATCACCATCGTCACTACCACCATCTTTACTACCATCACCATCATCATCGCCATTGCCATCACTAGCAGCATCGTCAGCGGCAGCGGTGGTGATGGTGGTGGTGGTGGTGGTGGTGGCGGCGGCATGGTCCATCGGCTAACTCCCTCTCTTTCTCTTTCTCTCCCTCTCTCTCTCTCTCTCTCTCCCTCTTCACCCTCACTCTCACCCTCACCGACTCCCGTCGAGACGACAGAACGCCATAAGCAACCAATTTAAATGTAAATTGAAAACCACCGCGGCATACAAATTGTTCGACTCGACCGTCAAAAAATACTGCGAGTGGAGATCAAACGAAAGACAAGGAAGAGGCGGTGGCGGTCGTGAGAGGGTGGTACTCTACCACTACCGTTGTCGGTGGTTGCCACTGTCGTTGATTCACTCGCGTATTACGTACGTTTTTCCTTATGGATACATATGTATATAAATATATATAAATATATATATATGTGTGTGTGTGTGTGTGTGTGTGTGTGTATGTGTATGTGTATATGTGTGCGGCATTACTTTTTCATGGTGCGATGCACAAGATAGAACACAGTTAAAGTGTCCCCGTAAAAAGAGATCATCTGTCTCTCTCCTCTCTCTCTCTCTCTCTCTCTCTCATACACACACACATGCTTCTTCTCTTTTAACTTTTCGTCTTCGAGTCCAGTGCGATTCGTCCTCTTATCCTTTCTCCTTCCTTCCTTCCTTTCTTCCTTCCTTGCTTTCTTTCTTCCTTTCTTTTTTTCATCCCTATCTTTTTCTTTCACATTTTCTCCCTCCTCTCGTCTTCTCTCTCCTCTCCTTGTCAAACGGCAAGCAGTTTCATGTCACCCAGTAAGCTTTTCAAATATTTGTTTCCTCTTTCCGCTAACTCTCTTCTCCTTGTACCATCCTATTAGATTGACTACCAACCCCCTTCCTTTTTTTTTTTTTTTTTTTTTTCTTTTATTACTTTTGTCGATACGATACGGTATCATTTTCAAAGTATATAAACTAAGCATCGAGCAAATTTCTTTTCTGTTTTCCTTCCTCTCTTCGACATCTTTTTCTCTTTTTTCTTTTGTTGTTCTTGTTGTTGTTGTTGTTGTTGCTTTTTTTTTCATCCTTTTTCCTTATCTCTCCATTCTTTTTTTTTTTCCTTCTTTTTTTTTCCTTCTTTTTTTTTTTTTTTTTTTTTTTTTTTTTGTATTTACGTTGCCTAATCGAAACTAATTGGATAATAAGAACGACAATGGGAATTGTTTTAATTGTCATTTTATTTCAAGAGCTTGGCAATCAACGATTTGACAGTAAATGGATAACAGACAGAGAAAGAGAATGGTGCAGGCTCCTCTCTATCAACGATTTCGGTCGACTCAGAGCCGCCTCATTGCCAAGGGCTTAATTCCCCATTCCCGTAGTTATCCGTAGGGAGGAGGAAGAGGAGGAGGAGGATGAGGAGTAAGAGGAGGAAGAGATGTAGGTAGAGGAGGAAAAGTACCCCGGGCTTACCATAATTCTGGTGGTTTCGGATTATTCTCTCGCTCGACTGTTGAATATTCTCTCGCTTATTACAAAAGGGGGTTTGCGATAATCGACGACGTAACAAACCAAAATTTAGCCGAATCAAAGTAACGGTAACGACAGTGAAAGGGGAAAAGAGTAAGAGGATGAGCCGTAGTTGAAATAATAACAAATTCATATCGTTTCGCTTTGAAATTATTCGACGATACCCGGTAGGAACTATAATGGAGATGAAATAAAAAAAACGAGCGAGAGAGAGAGAGAGAGAGAGAGAGAGAGAGAGAGAGAGAGGAAGAAAGGGGAAAGAGAATATGATAAATTGAAACTACGAGGGAGAAATATTTTGCGTCCATCTTTGTATTCTCCATGCAGTCATTTCTCCTCTCGCACGAGTGCTTTCCGGTTCGTTGGAACATTTTGATAATGCGTTTCAGCTCGAACTCGAAACACGCTAATTTATATCACGCCCGAGTGTAAATTTATATTTCTGGAATGGAGAGATGGAGATTGTGTTGGTAGCGGCTGCCGAAACGGGAGCACTGGTAGCAATAGTAGATGAGATAGAGAGGGAGAGAGAGAGAGACAGAGAGAGAGAGAGAGAGAGAGAGAAAGAAAGAAAGAGAGAGAGAGAGAGAGAGAGTAAGAGAGAACGGTGGCTGTTAGCACGGGAACTGTGCTGCTCAGCCATCAACATAATTAAACGGCCTAAGTGGAGACGTCCGTGTATCATTATTAGGACTGCATCGCCATCTTCACCGTGGCACATCGTCGAGTATCCTCCTCACACTTTCAAAAGCCATTCGTGCGAGCGAGGAATATATATTCTGATTTAAGCGTGCCAACCGGCGAAATATCCGTTTAAGCGATAATGACGATGATGCGTCCAACATCAGCGTAGCAGTTCCAGAACGACTTGCTGTGCTTCGTTCTACATGGCGCCGGGCGACCGCCCCAAATTTATGTCTCTCGCTTATTCTCGAGACTCACTATCTCTCCCTATGTTTCTCTCTCTCTCTCTCTCTCTCTCACCCCTCTCTCTCTCTCTCTCTCTCTCTCTCTTTTTCTCTCTTTCCTGCTCTTGTACAAGTTGTGCTTTTAAAGGGATCTCGTCTGCTGTCTCGTTTCCTCGCCTGAAATTCGGATCTCCTCTTCGCGTTTCGTTCAAAATTTCGCGTGTCGTCTCACCTTGATGTCACTAGAATAATTAAGCGTGACTAACATGTGGGTTGACACATGGCATAGATCGAGTCATAAGTATCGTTCGTTTTATCATCCTTTTTTCCTCCCTTTTTTTTTTCTTTTTTTTTTCTTTTTTGCTTTTTTCTCCCCTCCTTCACCTATCCTCTTCTCCGTTTATAAAAAAACCATATCGCACGATACACCAGTGTATTTTGTTAACACGTTTTGATATTGTAAATTTCATCTCGTGGAATTTAATATTTTGAAAGTATAATCGAGAGAAAGGAATTTTCTTTTTTTTCTTGCTTTCTTTTTTTATTCTTTGTCCTTTTTTTTTTTCTTTGCTCTATCTTTTTTCCTCCCTCTTTCTTTCACCTCGCCCTTTCAAAAAAAAAAAAAAGAAAGAAAGAAAAAAGAAAAAAAAAACCGTACATAAATGCATAAGAATTTTTATCGAAACACGTATATCTCAATGGCCAATTCAAGCCTAAACATCGATTCTGATTTCCATATATTTATCGACCGATTAACTTTGAATATTAGCTATACCGATGCTAACTCTATTATTTTCTCTGATACGTTTATATTCAACATTCTTTTCTTTTTGTTTTTTTTTTCTTTACTTTTTTTTTTTTTTTTTTTTTTATATCTTCTTTTTCCTTTTTCTCTCTTCTTTCTTCTTCTTCTTTTTTTTCTTTTTCTCTTTCTTTCTTATTATTCGTCCTTTTTCTTCTTCTTATTCTTCCAGTTCGCAACGGATATTCCTGCGTACCTGTTGCTCTCTCAGAAGGACTCGATATTCGATTGAACACAGCTGCAAGGGCCGTTCGGTACGGAGTAAATGGCGTAGAAGTATGGGCCGCACCCTCTCGCAGCCTCCACACAAATCATACCGTCTATAAAGCCGACGCTGTTTTGGTTACGCTGCCACTCGGCGTTCTTAAGGCTTCCGCTCCACCCTCCGCGGTTGCTTTCAACCCTCCGCTTCCGGATTGGAAGTCTCAAGCCATCCAGAGGCTTGGCTTTGGCAATTTAAATAAGGTAAGATCTTATAGGCTAAGTCAATTCTAAAGAGTACTAACGTATTTATGAGACGACAAATTCGCTTGAAAATATATTTTAAAACATTTAGAAAAAGTATATGCCTCTCTTGGAAAATCTTCTTAACATTATATTTTCTATATTCTTTCATTTTATTTGTTTCTTCTTTTTTCCTTTTTCTTTTTTCACATCTCTTTAATCTTTCATTTTCTCCTAACGTCTTTTTATGTTTTATTATTATTAAGAACTTAGACGAGCGCAAATAGCACATATTCATTTACAATCATTCTGAAGAAAACGAATGCAAACATTTCAGGTAGTATTATGCTTTGAACGAATCTTTTGGGATCCAACGGCGAACTTGTTCGGGCACGTGGGTAGTACGACCGCCTCGAGAGGAGAACTCTTCCTGTTCTGGAACCTGTACAAAGCGCCGGTCCTGTTGGCCCTCGTCGCTGGAGAGGCAGCCTGCGTAATGGAGAATGTCAGCGACGACGTTATCATTGGTCGCTGTATCTCGGTCCTCAAGGTGGGTGAACTTTTACAAGAGTTTTCTCTCTCTCTTTCTTCCTGTATTTAAAATAAAATAAAAGAGAAAAAAAAAAAAGAAAAAGAAAAGGTAAGAAAGACAGGTAGAGAGGAAAAGAAACCAAAAAGAAAAAGAAAGAAAGAAAGAAAGAAAAGAAATTCTGTTATTCGATTAGCACGAACGTCGCTTGTATTCCCACAGACGATCTTTGGCAATCAAGTAGTCCCACAGCCCCGAGAGAGTGTCGTTACAAGATGGCGTGCAGATCCTTGGGCCCGTGGCTCCTACAGTTTCGTTGCAGTCGGCAGCTCCGGAAGTGATTACGATCTCCTTGCGGCACCGGTAGCACCACCAGCGCCTCCCAATTATCCTCCGGGCACACCGTCGCCTCAACCAAGAGTTTTTTTCGCAGGTGAGAATTCTTTCGTCAAATTTATTCGGGCGGATTAAAAAAGGGGATAGGGTAAAAAAAAAAGCAAGCAAACAAAAAACAAAAAAAAAAAAGAAAGAAAGAAAAAAGAAAAACGAAAAATCAAAAAAAAAAAGGAAAATATCCAAATGGAAAAAGGAAGAGAGCAATAAAAATTAAATTTCTTTCAAAATCCAATAATCCCAATTTCGTTGGTGGATTAATTAAAAAAAAAAAAAAATGTTTGACTTCAAAGAATTTTATTAATTCGTAATCAAAGAATTTTATTAATTAATCAAGAATAATAATTCCATTTCCTTTGAAATAATTTTCGATTTGATAAAAATTTTCAATATTTCAACAATTAAATTAATCGAAATAAACCAACCGACGTTTTTGGAAATTTTCACTATCATATATACCCATTATGAAAACGATTTTTCCTTTTTTTTTTTTTTTTTCATAGAAAAATGTAACGGACATACCGAAATGATTCAAATGGAAAAGATTTTTTTTTCTGTTATATTCATTTGTCGCCGCGAACCGTATCTCGGGCGTACAAGGTTCCTCAATGCCCAACGTACCTTCGTTACGTGACTTTGTTCGGGAGAGGTTCCTTTCACGTACCGTTTCTATGCTCTTTCTTGAATTTGGGTGACCTGAAAAAGGCTATAAAAGTAAGAGAGAGAGAGAGAGAGAGAGAGAGAGAGAGAGAGAGAGAGAGAGAGAGAGAGAGAGAGAGAGGATTCTTTTTCTTTTTCGTTGAACCACGTACCATTTTTAAGTCGTCGTCTTTCGAGATCAAAACCGCGAACAAACTGTTACGCGAAAGACTTTATAGAAAGAAAGAAAAAAAGAAAAAAAGAAAAATAGAAAGAAAGAAAGAAAGAAAGAGTCTTTTCGTTCGTCCTACATCATTACATTCGATGACGACAAAGTGTTCTAAAATTAAAGCGAGCTATTACTTATTGAATACCAGAAATCTTTTTCTATCTTCTCCGAGTTTCTCCGTCGGTGGGAAAAATAAAATGTAAAAAGTAAGAACAATGAAAAATTTATATCTCCGTCGTGTCCTATTCTTTTTTTCTTTTTTTGCAATGGGCAAAAACAAAAAAAAAACAAAAAAATAAAAAGAAAGAAAGAAAGAAGGATAGAGAGGAAAGAATGAGAAATTAGAAAGGAAGAAGAAGAAGAAGAAGAAGAAGAAGAAGAAGAAGAAGAAGAAGAAGAAAGAAGAAATGAAAAAGAATAATCTCTGAATAATAAAATTAGAAGAGTACTCTTCTTGTCTGATTTCAGGGGAACATACGATCCGTAATTATCCGGCGACTGTGCACGGTGCATTCTTGAGTGGACTCCGTGAAGGTGGCCGAATTGCCGATCAACTATGTGGAAGTCCTTACGCGCCACCAACGATGCCAACAACTGTACCTAGTACAACGGGGGTCTCATCATCCAACAATATCACAACTACGAACAACAATAACAACAATAACAACAATAGCAATACGACTGGCACGAGTTCGGCGCCTTAGTATATCAAAAACAAATTTCCATCGATCCTTCCACGATCTCAATTCGATCGATTAAAAATCGCGTCGTTAATCGCGCTCGCGTATCGTCTCTTTAGCAAAAGATATTGATGAGTGAACAAGATAGAGAGCGAGAGAGAGAGAGAGAGAGAGAGAGAGAGAGAATGAATGAATGACAAAGTGAGATAACGAGAGAATCGAGAGCGGCCCTTTTACAGTACGCGAGCATCCCTTCGAGAATCTGCCCTGTTCATTTTTATTTCTTTTTTTTTTTCTTTTTCTTCTTTTTCTTCTTCTTTCTCTGGTTTTTTTTTTCTTTTTTCCTTATTTCTTTCGAATAAAAAGGAACACGACCAAGAAGATCAGCATTCTTCGAAATCACTTCGAAAGCACTTGACTTGTTTTTATAAGAAACCCATTAAAGGATATGCACATACACGTATAGATGATAACGTGTAGGTAATAATTGTAAGAAAATCTTCTTCATTCTCGGAACCTTTTTCGCCCTCTCGATCCTCTCGATCCCCTTTTCATCTCGTCGCGTTTATACATATTTTATACGTACGAATCCGTGCCTTTAATGTCCTACATAATTATTATTATTATTATTATTATTATTATTATTATTATTATTATTATTATTATTATTATTATTATTATTATTATTATTATTATTATTATTATTATTATTATTATTATTATTATTATTATTATTATTATTATTATTATTATTAATTATTATTATTATTATTATTATTATTATTATTATTATTATTATTATTATTATTATTAATTATATATATATATATATATATATATATGTATGTATATATATATATATAGAACATATAATAATTCTCGACGCAATATTGTATCATAACGTTTGATTAGATTTTACTCGTGTAAAACGTTCGGTTTTCTCCCCTTTAACGATATACCCTTAACATCAGACACCCTTACCATACGCTTTGGTATCGCCAATATAATCGTAAATTTTTTTCGCGCTCATTCTTACGTTTGTTCATTCGTTCGTTTCTTCCTTCGTTCTTTCGTTTTTTCGTTTTTTCGTTCTTTCGTTCTTTCGTTCTCATTAATCCGTAATTATAAGTTTCTCGTCGATCTCGTGGTGTGTTTTATATATATATATATATATATATATATATATATATATATACATACACACACACATATATATAAATCTATATATATATATATATATATATATATATATATATATATATATATATAAAGAACAAAAATTAAATAAGAGGAAAGAGTTCTCCTCGTTCGAACTTCCTCCTCCTTTAGACACTCTTTTTTGCTTCCACGTTTCGGGGCTGGTGAAATCCTTTGTCATAGGTGTTCATGTTTGTCCTTCCCTCCCCCCTCCCTCCCCGTTCCCCTTTTTACACTCGGACCTGGCCTACATTATGCGTTATGTGATCAAATTCGAGCGTTTAGCACCATTCCAATTCGCATAGAATAATCTCACTTTTTTCTCCAATAGTTTCTCCCGGTTGGGTGGAGAGGAAAAAAAAAAAGAAAAAAAAAAGAGAGAGAGAGAGAGAGAGAGAATACGAGAAAACGTGACAACTTAATACTTGTTCTCACGTAGTGTGCATGCGTGCGTGCATGCGTGCGTGCAAGCGAGCGAACGATAAATACGTGTGTATGTGTATGTGTACGCATGAAAGGAAACAAAAAAAAAAGAAAAAAAAAAGAAAGAAATTGTTTATGTTTATTGTATAGCCAATTGTGAGATTTAGCATGAGAAGATATGTAATGAAGAATCATACGAAATCCTAATTAAGATTTGTTTCTTCTTCTTCTTCTTCTTCTTCTTCTTCATCGTATCAGGTGTACAGACTTAATGATTTATTATTCGTGACCACTAGATAACTAGATAGATAATTACTAGATAGAAATAGTACTAATACCGGTTTTGTGATTATTTGATAAATTTGATCATGATTATAGCGCTAACTATTGGTCCCGCTAGTTAGTCTCGCTGTTATCGATGGATCGTATTTAAGAGACAGTTAGAAACTGTCTCTTATATTTGGCACGGTTATTTTCGAATTGGAAAGAAGTACGATTCAGATAATACACACCATTGTGAAATTCTTGATTGTTCGTTCGGCTGCCGTTCAGTCTTTCCTCGTTCCATCATCACCCTCTAGAATCTATCATCTTGCTGTTGTCTGAGAAACACTTGGCCAGGCAAGTTAAGAAGCTCCGCCATTCTGAGATGATGATGTCAATGTCTTCACAAGAGGATTCTTTTTTAGTGTGTTAGATCTGAAGATGAAAATCCTCGATGGATCTATTGGAAATAGTCGGTATCCGTAGTCGCGCCTTTATAGTCTGCTCAAACTGACACACAAAACAAGATCGTTTGAGCCAGGATGTAAGAGAATCTTCTACTACTACTACTACTACTACTACTACTACTACTACTACTGCTGCTGGTGGTTTTGCTGCTGCTGCTGCTGCTACTACTACTGCTTGCTGCTTTCAATGGTGTCTCGATGATAAGAAAGATGAGAAAGATTAAAAAGTGACGTCGCAAAGTGTTATTGTGCCTGGTCGTGATCAAGCGCGCCGTCACAATTCGTTTAATCGAACTGTTTTTTTCTCTCTCGGACTAATATTCACCATGAATCAAAATCATTTTTTTGTATCTTTGTCAAAAGTTATTTTGCATGGGGTCTGCGTTAACCGCAAATACCCCACACTATCAAAAATTGAACGCACAAATACTCGCATTAGGAGTACTTACAGGCTTCAGCGTTTAGCCTCAGTCCTGGGGGAACCACCTCGTTGATCATGGTATCCCCTGCGCCAGGTTAGTATGAAAATATAAACCTCCTATCTATCTTGTTATTACTATCGCAATGGTCTCTCGCTTTTGGGAACTTGATAATATATCACGCCATCTTTTGGTCCATTTGACAAACGATAATATTTTTGTTTAATATTTTATACTATGCAACAGATCTATCTTGTTATTTTTTTTTTGTGTTTTTTTCCCTATTTTTTATTTTTTATCCCTTGTTTTTTCTCTTTTAATCTTTTTTATTCCTTTTTCTCTTTTGTTATTTTTTTTTCTTTTTTTTTGTTAGAACCAACCGGTTTTTTTTCTTTCTTCTTTCTCTCCCTTCTTTTATATACGATATTACATCCTTGAAATGTAATCATGATATTTCAGTTACGAACGTCAGTCGATTGAAGAAGCTTGATAAAAAAAAATAACGGATAAAAAAAATTGTAATTTAAAACGGTTAGTTAGAAAAAAGGTACAATAGAGGGGGATAGGGAATACCAATCAAGAGAGTGTGTAATTCAAGACAGAAACTCGTTGAACGACGTATGTAATCGACGAGACATCGAAACAACAAGCGTAAATCTCTATGGCAACCTCGATAACGGAAAGGAAGGAAACAAGTAGGAAGAAGGAAAAAGAGAAAGAGAGAGTGAGAGAGAGAGAGAGAGAGAAATAGAGAAAGAGATAGATAGATAGATAGAGAGAGAGAGAGAGAGAGAGTTTCGTTGGTGTGGTCGGCTTTTCGTGGTTATTGCCAGACCGATATTTGTTCGGTCCCCTTGAAATCCCCAAAAATGAGTGTCCTACCATTGCCAAAGGTCGAATGTGGTCCACCTAGACGTCAAAAGTATCCACAAGACATTATTGGGACCGCCAACATTACCTACGGCCACAGATTACGCGATCGTGGAGAGTGTAAAATCGTGAAGGAACGAGAGTCGATTTTCGACAAGTTGAAAGAGGCAGAGTCTAAAGAGAGAAGGTATTACGAAAATGTCGTAAAATGTTGGGAATTTGAGAAGGAAACTGACAGGAAAAGAAGAATAAAGGCTGTTAGAAATCGAATCGAACAAGGTAATGTACGTTGACTTGTTAGGTATCGAACTTATCATTTTTTTTTTTTTTTTTTTTTTTTTTTTTTTCATTGATCCATAATTTCAACGTATTCGTACAAATATATTCATCCAACGATACCATCATAATTGACTTCTTTTAAATCATCGTAATCTAACAAGTCCATACTTATTTGAAATATTTAACGCAATTTGTTATCTTCTTTTGATATCATTTAACGTATCCTATAAGAATAGAAATTTCTTTGTAATGATAGATAACGATAAATGAAACATACGAGAAAAGGGAATGATATGGTTTAACTTAATTCAATTTTTTACGATTTAAATTCGATTTATTTTCTAACTTTTTTATTTCAATACGATTAAATAATATTTATGCGTCGTAAAATCTTACTTCTAGTTTTTTTTTTCTTTTCTTTTTTTTTTATTTTTTTTTTTTTTTTAAATAATTAATATCTTTCGATGGTTACGAGACAATACGGTTAAACGGATAAAAATTCTTTCGTGAGAGACGACCGGTTAGATTAACACGTACGAATACAATGGCAGAAGGGGCGGGTTGAGATGGGTTGAGGGAGGAGGAGGGGGGTAGAGGGGGGCGGGGGTTTAGAAGGAGTAGGAGGAAATAAAGGTGGTAAAGGTGGTAGAGGAGCTAGAGGAGGAGATTTAACGTCGCCTCAAGTTGAAATGACAAAAAAAGTCGGCGTGATTCATCGAAGAAGCCCACGTACGGTCGGTGAACGTTAGCGAACGAAAATCGAGTGTTAAGATGCGTCTCTTAAGGAGTTAAAGGAAGATCCTTAAAAAAAAAAGGCGCGTGAGTAAAGCAGCCGCCGGTATGACCCTTTCATCGTGGCCGCTCCGCTTATTATGGATTTCGCGGGCCCCGGTAGCACCTTTTGTGAACTCATCGTTGGTCCGACGTGGTGTCGATAAAAAATTTAAATAAAATCGATGATGGTCCGCTCGCTCGTTTGCTCGCACGTACGTACGCATGCAAGCAAGCATGCAAGCATGCAAGCATGGACGCACGCATACGCCTCCAAGCTTTTATACTGCAGCATATACTCCATGTGTAATATTATAACGTGAAAATTAAACGCGTGCTCGCGATGTTTATCGTTTCACTCTCTCCTTCTCTCTCTCTCTCTCTCTCTCTTTCGCTATCTCTCTCTCTCTCTCTCTCTCTCTCTCTCTCTCTGTCTCTTTCTACATGCCCTTAAAATATTATATATATTCTGTATTTACAGTGTGGCCATGTGTATGTACGTACGTATGAGTTGAATAAACGTACGGGTGTGTCCACATAGTTTCATCATCGTAGCCATAACGAAGTTTATACCGGTACACGTTGCATCGATTATGAACCAACGAGATCGGTAAAAACGAGAACGTTTCCGCTTTTCGTGTGATACGTATTTGATAATTTAATAGGAAACGAACAGTGGCGGCGGCGGCGATGGCGGAGTCCAGATTCGTGGGAAAGTGGGGGGGGGAGGCACGGGGGGATGACTAGCGCAGGACAATGGTCACGATTTCAACGTAAACTCGTTGAAACTCGTATTATCGAGACGAGTGTGAGGGAATCTTCCTGTCTTTTTCTCTTTTTTTTTTGTTTTATTTTGTTTTGTTTATTTGTTTGTTTCGTTATGTTTTATTTTTTAATTTCCTTCCTTCCTCTCCCTCTCCCTTTTCCTCCCTCTCTCTCTCTCTCTCTCTCTCTTTTCTCTCTCTTTTTTCTCTCTTTTTTCTTTCTCTCTCTTTTTTTTTATTGCCTTTCATTTTCCACAACTGTTCGTTGCAAAACTTTTGGAAACGGCTCTAGTTTTTTCTATTTTTTATTTTTTTATCTTTTTTTTCTTTTTATATATATATATATATATATATATATATATATATATATACATATATATTTTTTTTTGTTATCTTTTTTTTTCGATTGGATTTCGTAATAACGTTCCAAGTGATTCAATAATCGTTCGGTTCAGTGAATTTGACCGAAATTTTGCTCTCGCACGTGGTTTTCCTTTTTTGAATACATCTATATCTTGATTACATTAATTTTACTGAAATAAAAATTAAAAAAGAAAAAAAAAAAACCGAAGGAGAACGAAACTCCCTTTGCCTCTTCGTGCCGTTCAACCCTCGATAAAAAGGGGGGAGGGGAAAAAAAACGATAAAAAAAGAAAAGAAAGAAAAGTACGGCACTATAAAATAGCCTTTGAATATTGCGCGAGTAATAATAATTGCACCATTTGTCATCCAGTTTCACGGTTTTAACGATCGTATTTACCAAGAGATACAGATACCCATGGGAATAATCGATAATTCTTTTTCATTAATGCATTTTGGATCCATTTTGGAATATTGTAAAGGTGATTGCGAAATTCCAACGTGCATTTGTTTTCAAAGTACAATTCTAGCGAAAGAGAGAAACAGAGAGTTGAGAGGGAGAGAGAGAGAGAGAGAGAGAGGGAGAGAGAGAGAGAGAGAGAAAGAACTTCGATTATTATCGTTTCAATATCGAAATATCGAAAATATCGATTGGATTAGCTAATTATTTGTATACCCAATGGTTTTAGTTGTTTTACCACCTGTGAAATAACGCAATCGCAAGAGTTTTCTCCGGTTGATAGGGAAACATTCGTGGTAGCGTTAAAAAAGAAAGGGATTAAAACGAACACGTAGCTGGAAAAACAGAACGGTGGTTGATTCCCTTTCTCTCATCCTCTTGTTGGCGAAAGAGAGATAAATGAGAGATTGAAAGAGAGAGAGAGAGAGAGAGAGAGAGAGAGAGAGAGAGAGAGAGAAAAGAGTAAAAAAGAAAGGGATGAAGAGAAACGCAAACGAGGAATTTCGGGGATGGGAAAGGGAGGTTGGGAGGGTGAGAGAGAGAGAGAGAGAGAGAGAGAGAGAGAGAGAGGGAAAGCATTACAAGCGGGCCGTACACCGTCGATGGACTCTTTAGCGCGTCGACGACTGTGCAAACATTGATAATTACACCGGCAATTAATTCCGATGCGGTTGATTCGAATTTACAGGAATGGCGACATACGAGGAAAGCGTGAACGTACGTAGAGAGAAGTTACGGGATCTGATATCGAGAGAGCAGAGAGAGTTGACGCGGGAAATTGTCGAGCAAGCTCAACACGGCGAGGATACGAGGATGGAGGAAATGAAGGAGGAAACGGAACGACTGAGGAAGCAACAAGAGGAACACCGTTTGGCATTGCTAGCATCTAAACGAATGCAACAGTACATTGCACGCTGTCCCGAGGTGAGGAACGAGTTAACGAAGAGAAGCACGAAAGAGGTGAAGATATGTAACTTAGTTCAAATGGCCGAGAACAAGGCAAAGAGAGAGCTCGAGGATGAATTGGAGAGGCTTTGGCACGAGTTGATGTTGAGAGAGGTAAAGGCAAAAGAGGATAGAGAGGTCGAGGAAGCGAAAAAGCGTTTACATCTGAAAAGGGAATCTTTGAGGACTTTGGCCAAACAGTTGGCCGGTAAGTTGGCCTCGGAGGAAGAAGTGAAACGAGTTAAGAAAGAGGAAAGGGAATATCTCGAAGGATTGTGGGAAAACGTTAGAAAAGAGGAGAGAATGAAATTGGATGCTGAAAAGAAAAAGCGAGAAACATTGAGAATGGAATTAGAGGAACAGGCGACGAGAGCTAAGAGAATTTTGGTTGAACGTGCGAGAGAGGAGATTAAAATCGATGAGGCCTTGAACGATCTTGCGAAGGAAGAATTGGAGAAAGAGAAGGCCGCCATCAAGGAAACTTCGGCGGTATTGCGTCGAGAACTTCTCGCTTACTTGAAGTATCTCGAAGAGTTGCGCGAGGAGGAAGCCAGGAGAAATTTAGAAGTGGACAGGATAGTAGAAGAATCGATGAAGGACGCTCAGACGAGAAGAGATCTTGCGGTTAAGAGATTCAAGGAGATGCAAGAACGAAATCTACGCGAGGTCCTTCTTTGTAGGGAGGAACAATTGAGGAGAAAGAGGGAGATGGACGAGAGGAATAAACGATTGCTCGAGGAAGAGAAAATCATTATGGAGAAAGAGATCGAGACTAATGCGAGATTGTGCGCGATTGCTAAAGAGGAAGAGAAAAGGAAGATGATATCTTATGGGAAGGAATTGACGGAGCAAAGGAAATACGTCGAGGTTATGCGCGCTAGGGAACGCGAGGAGGACGAGAGGATCTATCAGGAAGGGCTTAAGAGGGAGAACGAATATCGAAAGTTAACCGAGGAGCTGTTGAACGCCTCGGAAAACGTCACGCCGCATCCGTTCAAGTTACTCCTAAGAGAATACGACGCTCGTCTCGCTGCCGAGAAACAAGGCCTCTGTTATTGCCCTCCTCCTTTACCACCCATCTTACCACCAATGCAAACCACCGAACCATCGACAAAGTAATTTTTCTAATGACTCTCAAAGCGTCCTCCCTCTTTTCCCTTTCGTGCTTTGCACTTTTACGATGATACTATCGTTGTTTCCTTTCTCCACCCAACCACCTCTACTTCTCCCGTCCTCCCATCCCCGCACGCTGCCGCCGCCCTCTTTGCCATTTGCCACGATGCAACCAACGAATTACGCGATAAAGCGATGTAATTTTAGTCTTTTATTACACCCCTGTCTCTCTTTGTCCCTTTCTTTCGACTCTCTAGGAACATTCTTTTATACCGCGAAAGGAGTTCCTTCTAACGAGGGATAATACGTCTACCTGATCGCGTCACTGGAATTCCTATTTTGCCAGACCAATGGAATTCCTCGTTCTCTCTTTACATTTGTTTATTTTTTCTTTTTCTTTTTTTTTTCTTTTGTTTCTTTCCCCCCCCCCTCCTTTTTTCTTTTTTTCTCTTCCTTATTTTTATTATTATATTTTTTTTTTCTTTTTCTTTTTTTATTTTCGAACAACAAATTTCAACTCGTCTCGTACGATTCTCTCTCGTACGAAAAAAAGGAAAACAATAATAAAAAAAAAAAAAAAAAAAAAAATCGGGACATTTGGCGCGCCCGTATATGTATATCCGGTACTCTCGTATAATTTATACTATTTCGTATTCGTGAAAAAAAAAAAGAAAAAAAAAAGAAAAAAAAATTTCATTTTAAAAACGAACCTTTGGAAAAATCTGTGCTCCAACACGTTTTCGAATGTGTCATCGAAATAAATATTAATAAAATTTGGAAAAACGTCGATCTCTCATACGTTCCCAGTATCGTTCCCTATCTCCTGTTTTTTTTCTCCCCTTTTTTCTTTTTTTTTTTTTTTTTTGTTTTTCATTTCGAATCTTTTTTTTTGTTTTTCTTTTTTTTTTTTTTTTTTGTTTTTCTTTTTTTTTTCCCCCAAAACCAGCTTAGTATTTACATACTCGTGCAATTTCGTACATCATGATATAACATTTTCGGCTTGTTCGGTGATCGAACGTAGTTTATGCATTATTCAGCGACAAGGATAAAAATTTGCGATGAGGTTGGCTCGGTATCAGGAAACCGGTTTGTCAAATTGTCGTTCGTGAATGGACAACGAAGAAATCAAAGATCTTGTGAAACACCCTGTATCCTTTCTGGCTATACAGGATATCCATCCATGCAGAGGATCCTTAGGTTTATATATCCAGGGAGTGGGGTAGTAGTAGAAAAGAGCAAATGAGAAATTCTCATATAATCGGACAGGTCCTACCATCTGTGAGCGGTAAGAAGAAACTTTTAAACTCGTTACATCATTCTTACTTATCGACCTATCCACATTATTCTTTATTTAAAAGTTTCATCTTCATATTTGAACTTTAATCTCAGATATACAATATTTTTTTTCTTCTTCTTTTTCTTTTTTTTTTTTTCTCTCTCTCTCTCTCTCTCTCTCTCTCGCTCTCTCTATCTCTCTATCTCATATTCTACGCTATATAAAACGTTTTATTTCGAAGGAATATTCGGCCCTAATAAAGATATCAAAAGTTAACAACGTTTAATCTCGATCGACGAAAATATCGCAAAATTTCATTTTATATCTACAACGATACTAACTATATTTACGAGATTTGGTTCGTTCCTATTAACACGCTAATATTTTCCTTCGCACATATACGTCCGTATGCATCGTTTAACTTTCTTTATTAACGCGATACATCGTATTCGTTAAACAACGGAGGGCTGTACAACTTTATTGAGTTTAGCTTGGTAAAAACAAACGAGAGAACGTAAACGTCTCTTCTGATATAAACGTTTATCCTCGTTAATTAAAAGCATCATGAAAAATTACGAATTTTCGGAAAGTGATGTACCTTTTCGATGACGTGGTTTTACTTCTTTTTTTTTCTTTTTTTTTTTTTTCTTTTTTTCCCTCTTTTCTCAATCAACTCGAGAACCGAAAAGTATCGAGTAGAGATGGAATGTTGAAAAAAGGATTATTTTGTTTCGCTATTCCTTTTTTTTTCTACTTTTTTTTTTTTCTTTTTTCTTTTTTCTTTTTGTCAACAAAAAAGATCCTATCAATATCAAACGAGTACTTCTCTCTTTTGAAAAGGAAGAAAATAAGCCAAAGCGATAACGTTTTCGTTCGACTCGAAAGTCGAAATGAACGAGAAGCTATAAACGATTTCGATCGAATTTTTTTTTCGTCGACCTTCCCCTCTCGCCCTTTTCCCGTTCAATCTCTTTCGAAAAATCGTTTGTAAAATCGTGAGAATGATTCTCGAAAAAGAATCGTCCCGTGTATATATTTTCCTTTTTGTGAAATTTCGTTACGAATAGAATTTGTTCTACATATCTAACGTTCTCTGGATTTGTAGAAAATTCGATATAGAGTACTGGCGGTACATATGGCATGGTTCGTAATTAGCCAGTGGAATATTCATACTCAGAGTAATAGTAATATACAAGATACAACGATATTCAGTAAGTATTAAAACATTTTACTAATTAAATTAACTTACTATTATCGCGTACTATTATCGTTCATTAATTAGAAACAGCGACGTGTTTATTTATTTCTTTTTCGATGATTACATGAAGATCCTATGTAAAGTTAATTAACGGTGTACTATGATCGAGTTACACAAAAAAAAAAAAAAAAGAAAAAGAAAAACAAAAAAACAAGAAAAACAAGAAGAAGAAAAATATAATAATAACGATAATAATAATAAAAAATATATTTTTAAATCTAATTATCGTAAAATCAAATACGATGGAATCAAATTAACATAATAATTTCATTTTATTATCGTTCAAACGTTTACGACGTTTATTTTTCTTCTTTCCGATTGATTTTAACTATGATAATCGTACTTGAACTTAATTAATTGAGCAAAGAGAAAGGAAGGAAAAGAAAAGGAAACGAAATGGAAAAAAAAATTAAAAAAGGAAAAAAAGAAGAAAGAGAAAAAAAATACAAAATAAAAAATTAAAGATACATTTAGAAATACGATTATCCTAATTGTTACTTTAACAATAAGTTCGAATAATTTTCTTCCTTAATTACGTTAAATTATGACAAATATATCTACGAAATTAATCTGATATATACTGATAAGTTATTACCATAGAAATATCGCTAATCGTTTCTCATTACGTCGAAATTCAAAGTTGGCAAGCCGTAAGACACCAGATTATGGGGTACTAGAGGTTTCTCTGGAAATGTAGGTACGCTCGGATGCCCGATTTTACCCTCTTCCTCCCTTTTAGAGTACAGACACTCACTCACTCACTCACAGAGACCAAGCAAGCAAGCAAGCAAGCAAGCAAGCAAGCAAGCAAGCAGGCAAGCAAGCAAGCAGGCAGGCAAGCAAGCAGACAGGCAAGCAGGCAGGCAGACATAGAGGCAGGTTGGCAAGCAGGCAGGCATGCAGGCAGGCATGCAGGCAGGCAGGAAAGCAGGCAAGCAAGCAACCAAGCAGGGAGGCAACAACCCTCTCGCGCGTATTCGTCGATCATCGCGCATACGGGCACTGCCCCATCCCCCCACTCTCTCAACCTCAACCCCAATTCCACCCCCACCCTAACATATATCGCGTTACCCCATGACGATACGTATCTCTAACTACCAGCCACTGTCGATATTCGGCTATTTAATGTTTAGATATTCGGACGTCATACGGCCGAATGTACGTCATCTCGAATATTACCGATTCGTATTCGGTATCGAACATAATTTACCATTATTACTCGTTACTAGATTTCGATTAATTAATCAAATTTCTATATTTGATATGTATATATATATATATATATGCTTGTGTGTGTGTGTGTGTGTGTGTGTGTGTATGTATGTATATGTGTGTGTGCGTATATAGTGCAAGTAATATTAAAAGAATGTTACGCTCTTTTTGATACTACATTATTACCACGTTATTGTGTTAATATAAATTTGTTCGAATGAAGAAAAAAAAGAAAAAAAAAAAAAGAAGGAACAAAGAAAACCAAATTGGAAATGTTTTATTAGTTAACGTTAACAATTAATCCCGACTTTTATTTATCATTCTTTAGTCGATCTTTCTTCTTCTTTTCTTTCTCTTTTTTCTTTAATTTTTTTTTTCTTTTATTTTTTTTTTTTTTTGTTTTTATTCGTTATCGCTATAAATACTTGGATAAAAATGGAGGAAAAAGAGAAAAGAAAATAAATAAATCGAGGAGTAAGGGAGAAACGGACAAAGAAAGAAGATCACGTATTTCCACAGAATTTATTTCGATCCCCATTTATATGACTGGAGAGGCGGAAGGAGAGGGGGGGATAAACGAAATAAGGTACATATATATATATATATGTATATGTATATGTATATAAATGTATATACGTTACACTCAACAATCTAATACCCTTGCCTACGTATTCTCATAATCGTCGATATGGGTGGTGAAGAACAGATGGAAAGGGTTGAAAACGGAAAGAAAATAATACTCGGATTAGCCGGCGTGTTCGGATTACCCGTATGATTGTTCTCTCTTGATTAAGACTTTGAAACAAACCGATCCTACTCGTCGGTAACTTTATCCACTGTATTATTCTATACAAATAACTAAGAGAGAGAGATAGATAGAGAGAAAGGGAGAGAGAGAGAGAGAGAGAGAGAGAGAGAGAGTTGGAAAATGGAAGATGAGAATTGCATTTAAACAAAAAGAAAAAACAACGACGAAAGAAAGAAAAGAAAAAGACGGAGAAAAATTGTAAATATTCTTGGAAGTTTTAAAATGAAAAACGACAAAAAACAAAAGACAGAAAAAAAAGGGGAACGAAAGAAAATAGAATTTTCCATTTTTCATCCTAGCCAGCTCTCCTAAATGTTCATTTCCGATCGTATGTACGTACACTCTATCTACTGGAAACGTTATCGACCGCTCGATTCGGACGTAAAAGCCGCCGAAATGTGAATCCGACGGTGTGCGTCGAAAAAGTTCGCGCATGCCTCTCGCGTATCCATTCGAACGTCGAGAGGGTGATTTTCCCTACGCGTTTCTTTCACGTTCGAAGCACTTTAGCTTACATATGTAAACGTACATATTTACGTTGAAATTTTATTTTCAAAAACATGAGAAAATTTGTATAAAAGGAAGAAAAAAAAAATATATATATATATATATATATCTTTTATTATATTTTATTTTATTATAGTTCTTTCTCTATTTTCTTTTTTTTCTATTTTCTACTTTCTCTTTTCCTTTCACTTTAGAATGTTAATCGAATTGATTGAATTTATTGAAGATAATTTTGTTGATTAATTAATGTTAAATAAAATACTACAAATTTTTTATAATGAAAAATTTTCGTTTGAATCATGACGGAAAAATTATTTTTGAGATTGTCGATGAAC